GCTGCCTTCACTTCTGGACAGGTGAGTGTGGGGAAAGCATGGCTAGAGCCTGGACAGGTGAGTGGACAGGCAAAAGGACAGCGGACAGGTCCCCTGGACAGGGAAAAGCATTCTAAACTTGCCTGTGAACAGCACTTACCACTCATGGCACTTCCAGCCCTCAGAACAGGGCACCTAAATCTCATTTGCTGGCTCAGTTCTAGAGGCTGCTCCAGCCCAATTTTTCTTGTGGTGTCCAGTGTTGTGGTTGTTGGAGGGAGCAATCCTGGCCAGAGCTTTCCGTGCCTGTCTGTGATGCCTCCTGCCCATAACTGCATGCAAAGCCTGCTCCTGTGGCAGCTGCACTCTCCAGCACATTGAATGAGGGGTTTTCTAAACTGTGTTAAATCCAGTATCACTAAGGGATGTCTAGATCTGCTGGAAGATACATCTCTCCCCATTTTGCATATAGATTTGCACTCCAAAATGTCCTTCTCTGAATGAAATGTGACCCATTCTTGTCTTTTACACCATGATCAAGGAGAGAGGCAAGCAGTTAGAGATTTTCTTCTCATGATTCTATTTAAGGAGGGAAGGAGGTGCTGGAATTTATTCATCCTCTCTGTCCCTCCTGGGGTTTGGAGGGTTAACAGGTGATGCAAACAGCAGGGTGATGGGACAGAGCTGTCCCTTTGCTGGAAGGGAGACTGGAGCAGTGGCACTGTGTGGTCACTGACAGGACATAAAACACCCTAAATCCTCTGTGTATTGGAATGGCTCAATTTCATTGAGGTCTGAGCAACCTCAGGGGGCTGGAATGAGCCCAAACCATTCCGTGATTCTGTGATTTTAACCCTTTGCAGTTCCCAGCGGTGTGTACAGCACCACAAGGGTTGCTGCCTCACCTCTTACAGGAATTCCTGAAAGTCCGTCCCACCTCCCTGGAATTATCCCTGCTGAGATGTGCTCCCTGAGCCACCCCGTGTTCATTAATGTGCAATAATGTGCATTAATGTGCATTAATGCTTTTAATGGTGACCCAGGGCACCAGGCTGAGGCCGGGTCCCACCTGGGGTGTTTCCCTCCCTGCCCTGCTCTCCCTGGCACTGAGTGTGGGGCTGTGTTGTTCCAGGCACAGCGAGGATGTGGCTGGCTCTGGCTCTGCTCTCCGTGCTCCACGGGATGGCAGCTGGGGAATGCTTCTTGAATTCCCCATATCCCAAGAATCCAGAGGCAAGGATGAACATTGTGAGTATGATGGCGTTGGAGAGGAGGTCGGAAGTGTCCAGGAAACAGCCACCATTTAAATAATTACAGTGAAATATCACATTCAGGCATTTCCTCGCTGGAACCTTATTATCTATGGGAATAAATCATATGTGACTCCATTTTCTTCATGGTGGGAAAAAGGCTATTCTTTATGGATATAATTCCTTTTTATACAGTTTTACAGACCTTGAGTGGGACACCAATTGGTCAGGAGCTTTCTTGCCAATTATTGCTTTTATTGGTTATTAACAAATTGTTATTCTGTATTGACTGGTCACTCAGACTCTCAATGTGCATATGTAGGGAAGTTTGTGAGAGACAGTTTTCATTTTGCTATCTTGGTGCAAAACCAATTTATACAGGTGCAAGTTATTTTTTTCCCAGGAATAACATTAACTAATTTTGTCAATTATGTGCTCACACCAGGATTGCTTTCACTCAGGAATTTGCAAAATGCTGGCTTTGACCAGGCCAGCCACTGATTCCAGGAGAGCAGGATTTTATGGAGCCTTTCTCTATTATTTTTCTACCTTGCTGCTATTGTTTCCCCAACAACTATTGTTTCTTTCTTCTTGTTGCAGAGTGAAATGATCTCCTTCTGGGGTTACCCCAGCGAGGAGTATGATGTGGTGACAGAAGATGGCTACATCCTTCAGCTGAACAGGATTCCTCATGGCAGGGGAAATTCTGGGTGCCAAGGTAAAAGTGATGCCACACAGGACACACACACACACCTTGAGCATTCACTGGTATTGGAATATGAATCCCAATATTACCAGGTAGATTGTGCCTGGGCCAGTCTGACCCTCGCTGCTGAGCCAAAGGCGGCTTCTGTGGTGCTTCACCCCAGAGACACCTTCAGCTTGCTGGTGGTTTCAGCTGGGCACTAAACAAGTCCAGGCTTGTTAGGAACTCCGTTTACCTCAGGAAGAAGGCTTCAGACAATGGTGAAGAGAAAAAGGAGAGGATTCTGCTGGAGGGTTATATCCAGTGGTTTATTCCATGGTTACAAGGGTCTGACTCTTGGGAAGAGCTCCAACAGAATTCAGAGCACATGGCTGGACTAACCTTTTAAGCTCAGGGGGAGGGGAGGGGACAGGTGAGCCACCAACCAGGTGGGAGGGGCGGGGTCTCAAGGGACGAGGGACACCTAGACAGGCCAATGACCTCTGGGCCTGAGGGGCATCCTTTGAACTCGACCAACCACACGACGCCTTTGCTGGAATGTTAAGCCTGATTGACAGGACTCACTCGGCAAGGGACGAGGGGGAAGGGGAAGAGAGGTATTGGTACACCTGGGAGGTGACCTGGAAGTCTAAAACAGGACATTACAACACACCGCAACAACTGGGATAGCAGGGCTTGTGCAAGAGGGTTTTCAGGGTTCCCTGTGGCTTGGCATTGGTTTTGATGGATCAGAATTTGCGAGGAAGGCTGATGCCTTGTCAGGGATGTTTCCTCACCCCTCATGGACCCCTGAGCATTGAATGTCAGGCTGCAATCTCTGGTGGCACACCTGGGGCTCTCTCCAGAGCCTGGCTCCCAAAATGTGCTCCTGCTGCCATTTGATGGATCAGCAGACTGGTCTGGTTCTCCCTGGGTATCCTCTTGTCCTGTGGGATCTATCTAATAATAGATCCTATTTAGATCATTCTATCTAAATGAAAATTGCATTTTTCCGGTCACATCCCCAGGCTCCTCCACGTTTGCCCACAGAGCTGCCTGGGCAGCTCAAGTTCTGCCAACACCAAGTTCTGCCAACACCAAGTTCTGCCAACACCCCCAGAGATTCTGGGGATAAAACCCAAGATAATGGTGAATTTTTAAATCTAGAGGAACACCAACACAAACCTCCACGGATTTTGGCTGCCATGGGGATAACACTTCATAAATTGTTTCAAAAGGCAAAATACAGCATTAAAATGAGGAGAGTCATGATGCTGCCTGTCTTGCAGGTGTGAGGCCCGTGGCACTCCTGCAGCATGGTTTCCTTGCAGAAGGCAGCATCTGGCTCACCAACTTGGCCAACAACAGCCTGGGCTTCATCCTGGCAGATGCTGGCTACGATGTCTGGGTAGGAAACAGCAGAGGGAACACCTGGTCCAGGAGGCACCAGGTGCTGACCACCACACAGGATGAGTTCTGGGCTTTCAGGTAAATGGGGGGCATTGAGGGTCTCAGAAACAGCTGAATTCTGTCAGGGTCACGCTGCCCCAGCTGGGGGATGAGGGAACCAGGCTGGAGTGAAGCTCATCCAACTTATTTTGAGTGAAAACTCAGTAGGATGAAGAGTTTTGTGGGGTGGCCCTGCCCTCCTGCTGGTTTTGTGGTTTGCTGATGCTGCCCCTCTCAGCAGGATATCTCCTCTTCCTTCTGCAGCTTCGATGAGATGGCTAAATATGATCTCCCAGCCATGATCAGCTTTATTGAGCAGAAAACAGGACAGAAACAGCTCTATTATATTGGCCATTCCCAAGGCACCACCATAGGTGAGAGGGTCCCGCTGACGGCAGCACGAGAAGTTAACATCCCCTCTCAGATTTGTAAAATTACTCACTGAAATTAAACTATGTGCATGAGTGCCTTGAAAGACTAAAAAAGTCTAAACCTTTTTTTTTTCTACACTTTTCCCCCCCACCAGGTTTTATAGCTTTTTCCACTATGCCTGAGCTGGCTCAGAAAATCAAGGTGTTCATTGCTCTTTCACCTGTGACCACGGTGATATTTTCTCAGAGCCCATTTAGGAAACTCTCAGTCTTTTCTGACTCTGGGCTTAAGGTTGGTCTGCACTATGTTCTGCACAGCCAAAATGGTTTTTTATGGGGATTGTGAGATTATCAATGGGCTATTTCAAGTCATTTACAGAGAGGGGAGCTCTGTGCTCTCTTTTATTATGAAGAAAAACACATCTCACTGAAGAACCTTTCAGTCTTGTCCTGAATTCACTCCCTAAAATGAATTATTCTGGTGAGTAAAACTGATGCAGAGGCTGTGAATTGAGCCCTAGCATTTAACACAAGAGCATTAATGAATGTAGGAGATCATGCCCATAAGAAACAAGGAGCTGAAGCATTTAATGGGGTGCAAGGGAGGCTTCACTATGGGCAACCTTGATGGGGGGATAAAATAGAAGTTGTAAAGTAGTGCTTTTGGGGAAAAGCATGACCAGACTTCCTATTTGATGAGCACATCTGGGATTTTACAGGAGCTCTTTGGCACCAGGGAGTTCCTGCCCCACACTGCCCTGGGAGAGGTGGTCCTCTCCAGGTTCTGCTCCTGCTCCAAGGTCTGCAAGCACATCCTGGCTTCAGTTTTCGGGTTTAACTGGAAGAACACAAACATGGTACGTGGGAATGGACCTGCAGAGGGTCCTCCTGAGGGCCAAAGCCTTGGCCATGCCCTGTTCTGCAGGGCCAGGTGAAATGTGGGATGTGCTGGTGTCCTTGCAGAGCCGGTTCGATGTGTACATGGGGCACAACCCGGCGGGCTCCTCCGTGCAGAACATCATCCACTGGCTGCAGGTAAACCTCCCCAGCCGCCCTCCATGCCCCACAGAGTGTCCCTGGTCCCTTGTGGGCAGCCTGCTGTGCTGCTGGCTGCAAGGCACACCTTGGCCAGGTCTTTGGTGGGTTTTGTTTCCACTCCTCCGTAAAATGCTCGGCGGGTTTTGGAGCCAGAGGGGTGGATCTGCCATGGAGCTGAGGGCCCTGCAGCCACAGCAGGAACATTCCAGGGCTCTTGTTTCAAACCAGCCCCAGCCCTGCAGCCCAAGTGCCATTAGTGGTCAGACTGGACCAGGCTGCCACCATTAGTGGCATCTGGACTGCAGCCAATTAAGCTCATTACTGATAAAGCTGATTATTTCTCTTTCTTCCCCTCATGGGCATGAGAACAGTCACCACCAGAGCACTTTGACACTGCAGTTGCGCTCTGCTGCACTCCTTCTCTCTTCTCCAAGCTAAAAATTTGCATATTTTTGGTAGATTGCCTGTTTACCTCCTCTGGGCTGTACTCAGGGCACAGCTCCTTCCCTGTGTGCAATCCCTGCTCAGGGACCCCAGAAGGGCTTTGTGGGGTTTGCAGCAAGAGCACACACCCCATTCTCTGAAGTGCTCCTGCCCAGTGGAGGGATGAGGCCACCTTGACCTTGCATTGCTGCTGGTCCTGTTCCAGTTAGACAAGAGATGCTCAGAGGCTCCTTCCATCTCTGACAGTGCCATTTCAGGCCCACTCTCCAGCCCACAAGGAATATTTGGAGTTCTAAACCCATTTTCCAGACCATTCTAATTTCTTCACATCCTGGTGTTATCCGCAAACATTAGAAACATAATCTTTACCCATTTGTCCAAATTCATGACAATAATTACTTGTGCTGGGCCTGGGGCCAGGCCTGTGAGACACTGCCAGTTCAGTGATGAAAGCTAACTTTTCAGGGTAGACTTTTGAGGGTTGAGTGCACCCCCAGAGAGCTGTGACTTCACTCAGAGCACTGCATGTCTGAATTTGCTGCAGGGAGTCCACGGTGGGGCACTGAGAGCTTTTGATGGGGGGCACATGTACAACAGCCTTCACTACAGACAGGTGAGGTGCTTCCAGTGCTTCCCTTTTCCCTGTTCTCTTCCCATCCATGCCTGCTGTGTCTCCCCTTAATGTATTCCTCCCTTCACAAACTGGAAGTCAGGATCTCTGCTTGGAACAACAGCATTTTCCATTCTCAACTCTATTTTGCAAATACGTTTTAGATGGAATAAAACACTTTAAATTAGACTTTCCAGTTTCCATAGGATAAGGGGAAATGGTCTCAAGTTACACCAGGCTGAATATTAGGAAAAAATTTCTTCTCTGAAATAGTGGCTAAGCCTTGGAACAGGAAAAAAAAAAGAAAAAGAAAAAGCTTTTTGTATTCCTTAAACAAAATGAATCCTTCAGAAAGCAGTATGCTTCTTAACTGGATTAATTACACTGCAAGTAACGAGAGATGCTGCTGGCAAATCACCTCATGGCAAATCCTCAGGGTGTGGAGGTGCAACAAACCCTCCAGAAATGTTTTAATTTCAAAAAATTTGCTTCCAAACACCTCCCTGGTGTCACTGAAGGAAGTGCTGGGGAAGTGTCACCACAAAGAACTTTGGGAGGGACCTGTGGAGGTCAGGATGATCCAGCAGCACTAAACCAGGGCAGCCAAAGTTCTGCCTCCTTATCCAAACCATCTGTAGAGTCAGAACTAGAATTTCTAGACCAGCAGAACAAATTCACTAATTAATTTTAATTAAATTGCCTCACTAAATCATAGCACGTAATGCTATGCTGCATCTCTACTGAAGTTCCTCTCCTTTCTAGAAGAAAAGAGTTCCAGTTTTCCTTTCCCCCCAGTTCCCAAAGAGTAGCAATGGTGCACAGTTTGTTGCAGTCCAGAAACATCTCCTCTTTGGGAAGCCCCTTTACCATCTATCTTCTCCTTGTGAAGCCACTTTTCCCTCTCCATTTTGTGAAGCCCCTTTTCCATCTCTTCATTGTGAAGCCAATTTTCCATCCATCCCCTCCTTGTGAAGCCCCTTTTCCCTCTCCATTTTCTGAAGCCCCTTTTCCATCTCCTACATGTTAAGTCACATTTCCATCTCCCTCTTGTGAATCCACTCTTCCCTCTGCACTTTGTGAAGCCCCTTTTCCATCTCCACTTTGTGAAGCCCCTTTTCCATCTCCTCCTTGTCAAATCCCTTTTCCTCTGCTCCTTGTGAAGCCCCTTTTCCATCTGCTCCTTGTGAAATCCCTTTTCCCTCTCCATTTTGTGAAGCCCCTTTTGCATCTCCTCCTTGCGAAGCTCCTTTTCCGTCTCTACTTTGTGAAGCCCCTTTTCCCTCTCCTCCTTGTCAAACCACTTTTTCATCTGCTCCTTTTGAAGCTCCTTCACCATCTCCTCCTTCTGAAGCCCCTTTTCCATCTCCTCTTTTGAATCCACTGTTCCCTCCACTCTTTTTGAAGCCCCTTTTCCACCTCCACTTTGTGAAGCCCCTTTTTCATCACCATTTTGTGAAGCCCCTCTTCCATCTCCTCCTTTTGAAGCCCCTATTCCCTCTCCATTTTGTGAATCCCCTTTTCCGTGTGCTCCCAGACCGGGGCCCCGTTCTACGACGTGCAGGACATGGAGGTGCCCACGGCCATCTGGAACGCGGGCCGGGACTGCCTGGCCGACCCGCGGGACACGGCGCTGCTGCTGCCCCAGGTCAGGAACCTGGTGCACCACAAGCTCATCCCCCACTGGAACCACATGGACTTCGTGCTGGGCCTCGACGCCTACGAGGTTCTGTACCGCGAAATCCTGGACGTCATGAAGAAGCACCTCTAAGATTCCAGTTCTACTTGGTACAGTTTTTATTTTAGTGCTGTCTCTACAGGATTTTGAAATTTCTTTTCAATCTTTTGAATTTTTTGAATCTTTTTCAATCTTTTGAAATTTTTTTTTAATCTCTGTTTGGACCGCCTGAATATAGTTCATTAAAATGTTCAGCTTTTAACTGGAGCAGTGACAGGGTGGGGAGAGAAGCCTTTATGCCATTCCTGGCTGGCACTGCATTGCCTTTCTTCATTTTCCTTCTTTTTCCTTCTTCTTTTCCTTTCTTTTCCCTTCTTCTTTTCCCTTCTTTTCCCTTCTACTTTTTCCTTCTTTTTTTTTCCTTCTTCTTTTCCCCTCTTCTTTTCCTTTCTTTTCCCCTCTTCTTTTCCCCTCTTCTTTTCCCTTCTTCTTTTCCCCTCTTCTTTTCCTTTCTTCTTTTCCTTTTTTCTTTTCCCTTCTTCTTTTCCTTTCTTCTTTTTCCTTCTTCTTTTCCCTTCTTCTTTTCCCTTCTTTTCCCTTCTACTTTTCCCTTCTTTTTTCCCTTCATTTTTTTCTTCTTTTTCCCCTTCTTCTTTTCCATTGTTCTTTTCCTTTCTTTTCCCTTCTTCTTTTCCCTTCTTTTCCTTCTTTTCCCTTCTTCTTTTCCCTTCTTTTTTCCCCTTCTTTTCCCTTCTTTCCCCTTTTTTTCCCTTTCCCCCTTTTTTTCCCTTTTTATTCTTTTTTTTTCTTTTTTTGTTTGGTTTGGTTTGGTTTTGGAGGGGTTTTTTTTGTTGTTTGGTTTTGTTTTGGGCTTTTTAGTTTTTGGGGTGGTTTTTTTGTGCCTTCATCAGTGACACAAAGTTCACTGTTGCTGTCTCAGGTCTGCCACTTGTCACACATAAAGACATCAAGGCGGATCAGAAAGAGATCCAACAGATTTGTGGTGGAAAACATCAGAATTAGGATCCCAGAATGTTTTGGGTGGGAAGGGACCTCAAAGCCCATCTACCTTCCACCATCCCAGGCTGCTCCAAGCCCCAAAGCCCAGCCTGGCCTTGGGCACTGCCAGGGAACATTTCCTAATTCCCAATATCCCATCCAGCCCTGCCCTCTGGCACTGGGAACCCATTCCCTGGGTCCTGTCACTCCATCCCTTGTAAATAGTTTCTTTCCATCTTTCTCCCTTCAGGTACTGGAAGGACATGTCCCTAGAAAAAAAGCAGTCCTAGTGGTTTTGAATTCAATAAAAATTGTAATTAATCACATTTTTAATGTTGCTGGGTTTGGGCATTATATTTTTTTCCTTTCTGTGACTGAGGGGTGAGAAATGAATAAATCCTGAAGAGAAATTTCCAGTCAGACAGCCCAGTGTGTGATTCTGGTGGAGAATGTGTAAAATCCAAATAAAAAGGGACTTAGGGCATTCACAAAATGCTTATCTTAGGGTTTATCTGAGAGGTTTGGGTAATAAAACTGATCGGTGATCTCAAGGTGCTGTGATGCGTTGATGGTTATTTTCTTCAGCCTGAAGGAAGGGCAGTGATTTTACAGCAATAAAAAATTTGGCTGTTTCTGTCAGCCAAAATCCGGAGGCCCATCAGAAAATCTCAATAAATATGTCAATGTTGCAAGCACCAGAAGAATCAGCTTCTTTCAGGGAGGGAGAATCCAGCTGTGAGGCGAAGTAATATTTCATGGAGAAACTGCTCAAAATCATGCACTGGAGCACAGTCAGATTTTCAGTCTGTCAAGTTTTCTTTAAAATTCCCTGGAAGATATCCATCACACTGAAAAGCAGAGTAGATCAGTCAGAGGCTTGTGGGAGGCCAGGAAATAAATTTGGGGGAGAGTAGCCATTCCAAGTGATGCTGTGGGTATATTTATATTATATTATATTATATTATATTATATTATATTATATTATATTATATTATATTATATTATATTATATATAAAATATTATAATACATTGTATTATAGATTATATATCCTATCATATAATAAAACAATATATAATAATTGATTATAATAATATATTTTAATAATATATTTTATACTAGTATCTATGATAATACAATATTTAGTACATATATTAATATATAATTATATATTTAGCATTATATTTATGGATATTATACAGAATGTATATAATATATTAAGATAATATATTATTATATAATATACGATCATATTATATGTATTGTATTATGTACATTATATTAATATTTATTATATTCTAATATTGTATTATATATTATAAAATACATTAAATGATATTATGTTATATTATTATATTATACAATATAATATAATATAATATCATATCATATTTTAAATATAATATATTGTATAAGATATATTATTATATAATAGTTTAATATAATATTTTAATATAATAATTTAATATAGTTAAATATATCTTATAATATATAGTACATATATTAATATATATGTACTATATTATATAATGTATATAACTAATGCATATTAATATATAATATATATAAAGATAAAATATATTATTATATTATATATCATCATATTATATATAGTATATTATATACGTCATAATAATATATATTATATAATACAATAAATTATAATCAATCACAAAATACGCAACTAATATAATATAATATAATATAATATAATATAACATAGTATAATATAACATAGTATAATATAATATAGTATAATATTTCTATTGTTGGCGTATTACTATATAAAATAATTCCTGGCTAAAATTTGGCAGAAGTGCAGGACAGAGTTCCCTCCCTGCTGCTGGGTGTCCCTGTGCTGTCCTTGCTGTCCCCTGCAGTGGCTTTGGGGGAACCTTCCCAAGGTGACTCTGAGCCATGACATGTTTGTGCCCCTGCTGCTTCCCTCATTGTCCTGTCTAAGCCTTTCTCCTCTGAAGGGCAAAGCCAGCAAGCAAAATGAAAATCTGATGGCATTTACTTATGAAAAGAAGCTTGCATTCTTTACGGTTTCCTGTAGTATCACGCAGCCACATTGGTTTCAGTAAATAATTCATTCTTTAGTTCTTTTTTCGCCCCTTTTTTTCCTATGTCTGTAGTTTCTGCCTCATTCCAAGAAGCTTTCTGTAAAATGGTCTTTTTAGGTAATGCTCTTCACCTAATCTGTTTATTCAGTTTGCTCAAGTCCATCCATCTCCAGTAAATACTCTTCTCTCTGCTAAGAAAATTGCTCGTGAATTTTATCAGGGGATCAGATTATTGGATTTGGATATTGTTTGCTTTTCTGCCTTTAGGAGATTCTCTAAGCATCTTTCTGTAGTGCAAATTCTTGCTTAAGTTAATCCTGTTTAAACACATCTTTTTTCTTTTTTTTTAAGTCTCTTGCCAGTTCTGCAGAAACAATTTGCCCAAAGCCAAAAAAACAATATTTAAAATGTGGCTTCACTTGGTATTTTGCCATGGGGACAAAAGGGCTTTTCCTTGATTGCTTTGTTTCTTTTCCCTGTGCCTAAATATTTTCTTTCCCTTTCAAAACCCTGAAACAAAGCTGTGACCCAAATCCTGGCTGAAATGAAAATAAAACAGCTGCCAGCAGCGGGAGACATTTGCAGATGAGACTCGTGGCTCATGGCAGCACCCAGAAGGTGCAAAAATAAACGAGTCAAAAACACCCAGATTGTGCCCTGGGGTCAAGAGAGTTCAGAAGGGTGACACAGCCTTCCCTGCCCCTGCTCCCAGCTGGGATACACCAAAATTCCCAAATTCCCAGACAGGGTTTTCCTGTGTGCTGTTTTCCAGCAGTGCCTGGCATCCTGATGGTCCTATCCCAGCTGGACAGGGGACCAGGACCTGTCCCCACCACCGCTCCTGGGACAGTTCCTGTGCCACTGCCACCACGGGCTGCCACCCTGCTCCTGCCCAGCTGCCCAGTCTGGCCCGTTGTCCCTTGCTGGGAGCACTGGGAAGGCACCAGGGACCTCAGGGGACATCGGCACTGCCCCGAGGCCATCGCCACCCTGCACAGGGAGAGGACATTCCATTGTCCCCTGAAATTCCATTGTCCCCTGTCATCACATGAGGACATTCCATCGTCCCCTGACATTCCATTGTCCCCTGTCACCCCATGAGGACATTCTATGTCCCCTGTCATCCCATGAGGACATTCCATTGTCCCCTGTTATTCCATGAGGACATTCCATTGCCCTCTGTCATTCCATTGTCCTCTGTCATTCCATTGTCCCCTGTCATCCCATGTCCCCTGTCATTCCATGAGGACATTCCATGTCCCCTGTCATTCCATGTCCCCTGTCATTCCATGTCCCCTGTCATCCCATGAGGGCATTCTATGTCCCCTGTCATTCCATGTCCCCTGACATCCCATGAGGACATTCTATGTCCCCTGTCATTCCATGTTCCGCTGTCATTCCCTGCTGTCCTGGTGGGAAAGGCTGTGCCATGCCAGATTCCGCAGCCTGCTGAGCCAGCATGTTTGTCCCTTGTCTGGCCGGCAAACACGTCCCCAAATTAAAAGCTTAATAAATAAACAAACAAAGAGCCTTTTGCCACGGGGCTCGTGGGCTCCTGTGACACTGAGCCAGGTTTGATACAGCACCAGTGACAGCCAGGCCTGCTGGCCCTTGGGCTGCTGCGCTCCTCTGATTCTTTTGTGAAAGAAATTTAAAACAGTGGCTAGGGCTCCAGGTCCTCAGAGTGTGGTGGGTGGAATAACAGGAGCCTGGCGTTATTTCACCTGGAGCAGGTGCTGGAGGTGTTGTCTGAAGGTGCAGCCCCGATCCAGGTGTGACCCACCCTCATCAGCCCCAGCATTGTGTTGCAAATCACTGGCAGCAGCCTCCAGCCCCAGTGCCAACTCCTCACCTCTGCCAACCTGTTATTAGGCAATCCACTGACAGATTGGCTTCAATCCTTCTCCTTTCCCTCTCCAGATGCAGGTCAGAGGTTGGGACATCTCTGCAGAGCCCTGGTGGGCTTGGTGCTGTGCAGAGACCCCGGTGAGGCTGGTGCTGGTGCTGGTGCTGGTGGCACCACCAGATGCCTCCTTAGGGGGATGGATGCCCTGAGCCCAGCTTTGCAGCCCCACAAGCTGCTCAGCTGACGTCAGTTTGGGTTAGAGAGCAGTGCTTTATCCTTTAAACATATTTATCTCTCTATTAAAAGGCGGGGGATGCAGAGGCTGCAAATTAATCCCGCTGAGGTTTAATCCGCCCGGACCGTCAGCATTTTTATTTTCTTTGGATTGGAGGTCCTAAAACCTTCTGCTGTGGGTGTCTTCTGCCACGTGCAGGGACTTGCAGGCAGAATCCTGCACAACCCCACACAGCTGCTGGCCAGTACATGCAACACAGAGGTGGCTCTGTCATAAATAATTTGCAATAAACAGAATAAGTGAATCCCATGTAATAAATAGATGGGGCTGCTATAATGAGCATGCCTGTAAGAGTAGCCTCTTTGAGCTAGGTCTCATAAGCTCTTGGAGGTCTATAACACACCTAAGATAGCTCAGCTACCTTTGGAGGCATAAAAATCAGCAGGATGGCTTCTGTGGTAGTGTTGGAAGCAAAAAGGTTTAATAAAAGGCAAAATAACAAGCAGAGAAAAACCGAGGCAGGTACCAGAGGTTCTTGCTCCTCATAAAACACCTCACAAAACCAATTAGCTTCTTTGTTCACTTCTTTTTCTAGGAAATTGCCCAAACAAGACTTTTTAGCTTCTGTCCAATTAGCTATCCTTAAGTTTGAGGTGAAGTCCCCTGAGCCTGTGAAGCAGCTTTTTCACTAATCAAAAAGAGAAACTTCTAAGCTTCTTTCCTTTTTGAAGAGACAAATGATAGATTTGTCACTGCATCAACAAAAACCACATTCCTACACATGCCCACCACAGCTGATGGGTGGCTCTGCTGGCTGGGCAGTCACCGGGAAGGTGGGGAGATGATGGTGTCTGCTCCCTCAAAAACCTTGAGCTGCTGTTTCTCAGCATCCACCTCGTCAGGTTTTCACCCTGAGGTTTTTCTCCAGAGTCCTGGAGCTGCTGGCAAGGCAGAAATAGCTCAGTCATGGTCACTGGGCCACACCAAGGGTGCCCTGTTGATGCAGATGATATTTTTGATGCCAACCTCTGGCAATACTCTGCCATTCCCATCCCTGGCAAGGTGAGAGGCACCTGCAGAGGGCTCATCCATCCTGGTGCTGGGCTGCTCTGCTCCTACAAGCTGGCATTTGGGGGTTGCAGGGTTTTATCTGAGTAGCCCTGCTGATAAGGTGGAACCCAGAAAGTGAGATGCTCGGCTTTGCCAGATGTCCCCAGAACCTGAAACTCAGTCATGGCACTACCAATTCCTGCTCTGTTTAATGCAGCACAATTGTAGGGAAAAAAGATTGTAGCTTTGATTCCAGAGAGTCAGTAACAAGTCAGCCTCTCCTGGGTAAACAGAGCGGCTGAAATTCACTCCTCTAGTCATGACTTTCTTTTTAATTTCAACAGTAAGGAGCTGAACAGGACGAGCAAGAAAAGCTTGGCAAGAAGCCGTGTGATTGGAGAGGGATAGCTAGGTGGATTTGTGAGGTGAGAAAGGGCTCAGCCTTTCCTTGCACATTTCACCACCAGCAAATCACCAGGTTTGAACTTCACTCCGTGCAATGAGGAGGATCTGGTGAGGAGAATCTCCTGCTCCTGTGACCAGCTCAGAGCCCCCTGGGCCAGATGTGCCCTCTCTCCACCAGTGGCTGTCACAAGGTCACTTCCCTCCCATCCTGTGCCTGAACCCACAAACCATAGCACGTGCTCAATTCCTGGAGTAAAATTTCACTCCTGGATTGCTCTGAGCTGGAAAGAAAAGCTGGAAAGAAAACCCCAACACAGCAGATCTCCTGCAAGCCAAGCGCTGGAGCTTGGCTCTGATGCAAGACTTTATTGCAATAATCTCTACAGACACAGGGGATGGGCAGAAATCACAGAAGTGCATTTAAAAGCCTTAAATCAGTGTGGAACTGGGGGACAGGGGGACATGGGGACATTTTTAAGCAGAGCATCCCTCACACAAACTCTGTGCCCCAAGGCACATGGGAACAGGCAGCTCCTCCATCCTGGGGCAGCACAGGGATGGATGGATGGATGGATGGATGGATGGATGGATGGATGGATGGATGGATGGATGGATTAATGAATTCATGGATTCGTGGATGGAGGGATTGATGGATGGATTAATGGATGAATTCATGGAGGGATTCATGGATTCATGGATGAATTCATGGAGGGATTCATGGATGGATTCATAGAGGGATTTATGGAGGGATTCATGGATAGATTTATGGCTGGGTGGGTTCATGGATGGATTCATGGAGGGATTTATTGGTGGATTCATGGATGGATTTGAGGCTGGGTGGTTTCATTGATGGATTCATGGCTGGGTGGGTTCATTGACAGATTCATGGATGAATTCATGGAGGGATTCATGGATGAATTCATGGAGGGATTTATGGGTGGATTCATCGATGATGGGTTCATTGATGGATTAACGGATGGATTGATGGATTGATTAATGGATGGGTTAATGGATGGATTTATAGATGGGGTCATCAATGGATTGATGGATGGATTTGTGGATGGATCCGTGGATGGATTGATAGATGGATCTGTGGATGGATTGATGGATGGATCCAGGGATGGATTCATGGATGGCTTCATCAATGGATTGATAGATGGGTTCATGGATGGATTCATGGATGGGTTAATGGATGGATTCATGGATGGGTTCATGGATGGATCTATGGGTGGATTCATGGATGGGTTAATGGATGGATTCATGGATGGATCCATGGATGGATCCATCATTGGATCCATGGATGGATGCACAGATGGGGTCATGGATTCTCCTCCATCATGGCCACCATCCGCTGGTACATGCGCTGGGGGGCGTTCAGGCCCCAGTGGTGGTCGAAGTGGTTCCAGTCGGGGAAGTGCTCGTGGTGCACGACGTGGGTGAGGCGGGACAGCAAGCGCTCGGTCTCCTTATGGGGGGTCACCCAGTCGTGCCCCCCACTCCACACGGCCACCGGCACCCGCATGGCCTCGATCTCGTAAGAGGGAGGCCTCAGCTGGCAGGGGGAAAGCACTCCTGTTACCTGGGGCTCTGGTGGGTGGGGTGTGCTCCCCCATCCCCATCCCAGCCAGCCCCTTCACCTGGTTGTACTTCTCTATGTTTCTCAGCCCGTAGTCAAACTGCTTGAACTCGGCGGTTTTTGCAGTCTGGAAGGCAGAGGCAAAGGGTTAATCTAGGTAATATCCTGGATCAGCCCCCCCAGACAGACACACCTTTTGGGACACCTTGGTTAAAAAGCAGCAGCTTAAAAATCCCTTTTGTCTCTTTGATTCTACCTCCTTTACCTGTTTCCAGCAGCATTTGAAAATACCATGTTCACAGATTAAAAGAAAGTTAAAATAGTTATAAAATCAGAATCTCTACCTGTCCCCAGTGCACGAGATTTTTTACTGATGTATAGTCTGGAAAATGAGATAGGTACACATCCAGTCGGCTCTACAGGAAAAAGAAAGGATTTTCTAAGTGAGTTGGGAAGGATGAAAATCCATCTGGGCAAAAAACTTCAAGCATTCTGTCCTATAACTGCAATATAAATGTTATACACTCTTTATTCTTTAGCAGCTTTATTCTGCTCAGAGCTAGAAGCAGCTTTCAAAGGTAAGCCACTTAATCAATGGAAATACACTTAAAATGGAAATGCAACTGGTCCAGTCATTCTTTGGTTAAGAGATGAGACCACAAATGATTTTCTCTTACCGAGGACTCCATTGGGTTTAACACCCCCACACCACTGCAGGGAATCTCCAAACAACCACTGCCTCTCACACCTTATTTTGGAGGTCTATACTCATTGTTGTGCCTCATTAGATATCTCCAGGTGTATAGGAAAACCAGAGAGGGCTGTGACATGGACGGAGAGCCTGGTGTACCCACCATGTTCAAGTTGTTCCTGTCAAAGCCTCCGAACAGGAAGATGCTGTCGGCACACACTTCAGCTTCCAGTGGCTTGCTGCACTTGTCAACCAGGAACAGCTTCTCCTTCCTTGGCACCAGAACCAGCTCTCTGGTTCCAAATATCTCCTGCAGGAGCATGAGGGAATGTCAGGAATGGTGCTAGGAGCTCCAATGCCCACCGCAGGTGCAGGAGCAGCACACAGCGGTAATGCAGGGGACAGGAATTGCCAGAAATCCCTGGATTTTGGCAGTAACCACCCAGAAACACCTCCTGTACCTTGAGCAGCAGGTCTGATAGGAAGGCCAGCTTTAACACAGGGCCCCGGACGTGGTGGAAGGTGTACACGGGAGCCAGGGCAAAGAAGAGTTTGATTTTCTTGGCCAGATGTGGCAAGCTGGAAAATGCTATGAAACCTGAAAAGCAGCATGAGAGAACAACACAACCCCAGCTTACCCCAGGCCCTGTGTTTGAGGGTTTTTTTGAACAAAAAACGCTCCTGGATGCCAGCACAGCCCAGGATGGATGGGCAGGACGTGGACGTGGCAAACCCCTCCCATGCAGAAGGCTGGAAAGGCAGGAGGGGACAGCAGCTCCCAGCAGTGTCCAGTTTGGGATGGTGTTGAAGATTGCAATGCAAGATGCTTTCCATTCCCATCTGTATGGCAGATTACCTTTGTCAGGTGGGCAGTTTGCCTTATCTCTCTCTTTGAGTGACCACATTCACACCTCCCTGGGGAGGGGACATTGCTGATAACAGACTATTGAATATCACTGCATGGCTGATAAGAACTATAACATCCCATTGGGAGATGGGAGCCCGGGGGAGGAGCCAAGCATTGCTATCCAGATATAATCCAGGGGGAGGAGCCAAGCATTGCTACCCAGATATAATCCAGGGGGAGGAGCCAAGCATTGCTACCCAGATATAATCCAGAGGTTTTGAGACACCAGCACGGCTTTCTCCACGGGATTCCCCAGAGGAACAGCAGCTGTCTCTTCTTCCACTGGATCTTCAGAGGAAGAACACATCCTTCTCTACAGGACCCCCTTGCTCCAACAGAACCACCCCTGACACTGCAGGAGGGCTGCAGCCACATTTCCAATTGGACTGCTACCAACACCCCACAGGGTGTCAGGTTGGGGTCTTACTCTATCAGTGTTCTTGTAGTGTAATGCATTGTTTATTTTATCTTTTTTTTTCCTTTTCCCTAATAAAGAACTGTTATTTCCTGCTCCCATATTTTTGCCTGGGAGCTCCTTAATTTAAAATTTATAGCAATTCGGAGGTGTGGGGTGGGTTTACATTCTCCATTTCAGGGGAGGCTCCTGCCTTCCTTAGCAGACTCCTGTCTTTCCAAACCAAGACAGATGGACATTGATATCACTCACCCAGGGAACTGCCCTGAGCGTGGCCAACGTAGAACAGCTGCTTCTGCTCCGTTTGCATCAGGATGAAGCCCACCATGGCCGGCAGGTCGTACACGGCCATCTCGTGGAAGCTGCGCGGGAAAGGGAGAGTCTGGAGGAGATTCCCACCTCCCATCCACCCAGCCCACCAGGGGCTCAGTGCTGGCAGTCCTGCAGCCCAGCTACCCTTGGTGGCCCTGACCTGAAGTCCCAGAACTCCTCGGAGGCTGTGGACAGGCTGCGGTGCCGGCGGGACCAGCTGCTGCCGCGGTTGTTCCCGATCCAGACGTCATATCCCGCGTCCGCCAGGATGAAGGCCAGGCTGTTCTCGGGTAAGTTGTCCACCCAGTCACCACCATCAAGGCAAAACCCATGCACTATCAGCACGGGGGTCCTGGCTCCTGAAGGAAGAGATGGGAGGTAGTTGGCAGAAGGAGGAATGTGCTCCTTGTTGATGGAGTGACAAAATCGTCCTTTGTCCCCTCAAAAAGGAAATAAGCCCAGAAGTTTCTCTCCTCAATTAGGTGAAAAAACACCTCATAGGATCTGGGGGCTTCACCTCAAACTTAAGGATAGCTAATTGGACAGGAGCCAAAAACTCCCACCTAAACAATTCACTAGAAAAAGAAGAAAACAAAGAAACAAATCACTTTTGTGAGGTGATTTACCAGTAACAAGAACCTCGGGCACCTGGCTCGGTTTTTCTCTGTAAAGAGTTTTGTTATCTTGCCATTTATTAAGACCTTCTTGTTTCCAACACTGCCACAGAAGCCATCCTGCTGATTTTATGCCTTCTGAGGTAGCTGAGCTATCTTGGGTGTGAAATGGATCTCCAAGAGCCTATGAGACCTGGCTCAAGGAGACTCATATTTCAGAGACACCTTTCCACATGGAAATAAAACAGTACCTTGGTACTGTTTCATGCAAGATGCACATTAAAAATTCCCTTCTCCCCTTATTTCCCTGGTTATACTGGTGCTTCCTTAGGGGGGTTTGTGCTACCCCAGGCCCTGAGCCTGGGCCTTGGAGCAGGGGTTTGCTGCAGGGAAAGAGCCACTTTGGGGGCTTTGTTGGGTCACAACACAATGCTGAGCTCCTGAAGGCAGCCCAGAAGAAGTTTCTCATCCCTCTCCCAGCTGCCCAAGCCATGCCTGGAGGCACAGGCATTCCTCTTGTTGTCAGGAGGGCCAGGGTCACAGCTGGTATCCCCTGGGTGAGGCTGAGCCCACCTGAGAGCCTGGTGCCCTCCTTGCCGTGGGGAATCCTGTTGAGGCTCAGGAAGTAGCCATCCTCTGTCATCACCTCGTACTCCTCGCTGGGATAGCCGTGGAAAAGGATCTTCTCACTCTGCAGGGACAGGGGTGTGAGGGCAGAGGGTGACCCAGAGCTCTGGGCCTGCCTCAGCTTCCCCCACTGCTGCCACCCATGTGGTGTCCCCAGTGTCACCTGTGCCCAAAGGAATCACAGGGAGAGCAGGGAGAGGCCAAGCTCAAGCTGAGGGCATGGAGTGAGGGCCAGCAATGCAAATATGGGAGATTATTGACGCCCCAAACCCCCCAGAGAGGCCAGGTGCAGATGCAGGGAAGGGGTGAGCCCAGCTGGTCCCAGCTGGAAGGATTTTGGGCATGCCCATGGAGAAGCGAGGTGCCCCCCCAGCACTTACAATGTTCATGAACCTCTCTGGGTTGTGGAAGAATTCATCACCTGGGATGGCATCTTCCAGCCCCTGGGCCAGGCACAGGGCCACCAGCAGCAGCCACATCTCACCCAACTGCAGCACCTGCAGGATAACAAGGCTGTGAGTGCTCCAGGGCCACGAGGAACCCTTTGGGACAGCCAAAGCCTGATCCTGCCACAGGGAGCAGGTGTCTGCAACCCCTTGTGCAGTTTGGAGCCCACCCCAAGCCCCTCTGGCTGGCCATTGTCATCTAGACCAGCTGTAAGTGTGGGACAAGCAGCCTCCCACCACCCCCTGCCTGGGAAAAGCATCAGGGAAATCCTTGAGCTTTCAGGAAAAGCATTTCAGGGGAAGAATGCTCCCCTAAACAGGAGGGGTCATGCCAGAGCTCCATCCCTGCCTGGCATGCTTTACAGCCCCTTGCCAGGTGCTCCTGGAATGCCCAGCCCAAGGAATTCCAGACTCAAGGGCACATCCAGCAAAACCCAGTTCCCTGCTGATCCTGCTGCAGGAGCTAAAGGTGGCTCCCTGCCTCCCAGAGCGTGTTTTCCCAGCAGCCTTACTGCATGGAAAGCTTTCCTGGGCTGCTCAGGAAAACAGCAGAGCTCCGTGTGGGCCACTGTCACAGACATCTTTTATGAAAAATCCTTTCCTTATTTTTCCTCCTGAGAAGCTGGGTGGCCTCAGGAACAAAATGTAAACATTGATTATCTGTGGCTGTGGAATGCAACAGGTGGATCTGTGATTGGCCCATGTTGGATGTTTATAATTAATGGCAAATCACAGCCCAGATGGCTCAGACAGAGGGTCCGAGACAGCTGCCTTTGTTATCATTCTTTCTATTCTTAGCTTAGCTGGCCTTCTGAGATTAAAATCCTTTATTCTATTCTTTTAGTATAGTTTTAATGTAATATATATCATAAAATAATAAATAAAGCCTTCTGAAACATGGAGTCAGATCTCCATCTCTTCCCTCATCCAAAAACCCTTGTGAACACCATCACAGGCCACAGCAAAAACTCCCTCTCACTCAAACACAAAGTGCCAACTCAAGCCCACCAGCAGCACCTCAGTGCCTCCATCTCTGCATGCAAGTGAGAAGGGATGTCCTGGGTTTAAACTGCTGAGATGGCTGAGGGAAGGAGAGGTTGGATTGCTCTTTGATCCCCCAGGCAAACCACATCACTAAACCTGATCTCCCTTTGTCCTGCTCAGCTGCCCAACACCACAAATGCAGGCTGGACTCAGTGCGAATCACCTCTTTTAGGTGATATTAGTCTTGTAGGCCCTCAACCTGTGTGTGAAATGAAGATGGAAAGGACAGCAGGAAGGCAGAAGCTGCAGCCGCCAGCTCCTCACCCAGCTTAGTTGCCCTAAGACATCAGACCCTGGCCAATTGCTGAAATAACCACTTCACTGAGCACTGGGGCTTACAGGGGATGGAGAAGCCAGGCCTGCTCAGGAATCAGGAGATGCCAGGCAGAACAATGTGATCCTCAGTGCTGTTTGCTTGTTGCTAAACCCACAGGAGTTTCACACCAATTTCATCCCCTGGTTGAGCTGGTCACTTAGGAAAGAGCTTCTTTCCCTTGGGGCTGTCCAGAGAGGTGGCAAATCCCTGCCAGATTCTGTCCCCATGATCTGTGGAAACCCAGGGCATTGGGAATATTTCTCTGTCTGCTCTGGGGTGCCCTGACCCCCAGGCGAGCACAGACTCTGACCCTCATTCATAAAGAAAGTTTCCCAGACTTCAAGATAGACTGGAATCCACAAAAGTGTGAAATAGATGATAGAGAGTAAGAAATAAGAAACTGAAGAATGGTAAGAAATTGAGGTTTTGGGATTTTTAGTGTGTTGTGGATGGAAGCAAGATGGAAGGCACAGGGTGTCATCCTGGGTTTCTTCTTCTTGCTTCTTCCTCCTCCTTCTCCTTGGGTTTGGGTGGCATTTTGTAATTGGGCAGAAAAGTCCCCATTGCAGCTCTGTGGGATCAGTTATTGGGTTAAAAGGGAAAATAATCCAGGTGTCAGTTCTTCATCGGACAGTTTAGTCTTAAAAGCCCTTGTACCAAGAGATTGTTGGCCATTTTGTGCCTTCTAACGAAAAGCTGCTGAACTCTCAGTAGTGAGGCTGTTTTACTGATAAGAAATTATAAACACCTAAGTGCAAACAAGAATTACTGTCTCAAGTGCCTTCATTCCAGACCCAGAGAAACCAAAAACAGGGACCCCCACATTGGTCCATCTCCCTTAGATCTGCCCTTCACCACCTAAAAGGGGACCCTCCACAGCTCCATGGCCAGCAGAGCCCTCGCACATTTTTACTGACGTCTAGTCTGGAAAATGAGATATCTACACATCCAGTCAGCTCTACAGGAAAAAGAAAATATTTTCTAAGTGAGGTGGGAAGGATGAAAATCCATCTGGGCAAAAAACCTCAAGCATTCTGTCTTATAACTGCAATATAAATGTTACACACTCTTTATTATTTAGCAGCTTTATTCTGCTGAGAGGTAGAAGCAGCTTTCAAAGGTAAAGTATTGATTTCATCAATATTTTAAAATGGAAATACAGTGACAGAAGCAACTCCTCCTGGTATCCCAAGACATGGCAGAGAGGGAAGGATGAATCCCTGGGCATGGGGAGCCAGGGTGGAGGAGAGCAGAGCTCATCCTCAAAGCTGCTGCTCCCCTGGGTAAAGCAACCCAGCCCCTTCCCTATTCCTTTCACAGAGCCAAAAAGGATAAAGATCCAGGAAAATGTCTAACCACCAAGTTCTCCATGCATCAAATGCTCAGCTGGAGTGGCAATAACACCTTTTTTTCAGCAATACCCTAGGCTAGAAGGAGAACAGGAGAGCAGGAGAACAGGAGAGCAGAAGAACAAGAGAATAGGAGAATGGGAGAACAGGAGAACAGAACAGGAGAATAGGAGAATAGGAAAACAGGAGAACAGGAGAATAAGAGAATAGAAGAGCAGGTGAACAGGAGAACAGGAGAATAGGAGAACAAGAGAACAGGAGAATAAGAGAATAAGAGAAAAGGAGAACAGGAGAACAGATGAACAGGAGAATAGAAGAACAGGAGAGCAGGAGAGCAGAAGAATAGGAGAATAGAACAGGATAATAGGAGAACACCAACCTGACCCTCTGCTTCAGGCTCTCCATGCAGTCAGTGGGGTTGGTGGCACTAAGGGAACCAGTCCTTGGCTTATAAAAACACCCAGAGAGGCTGGGACTTGTCCATCAACACCTGCCTGTCCCTGCCCAGCCACACAGCCCAGGGGTTCAGGCACTGCACCCCAAAAACCACATCCCAAAGTTTGGGACGTGTCCCCACCGCTGGGAACACACAGGTCCTGTGGTGTCCTCTCCAGCTGGGACAGCATTTTTGGCATTCCTTGGCAGAGGGGTTCCAGCTGCTTTGTCTCTGCTCTGGGGGTGCCGGGCAGGCTGCTCATCCTGGATTTCCAGGTGTAGGTAAAGGGTCAGCTCTGCATGTCAGCACCAGGGCTGGGTTGAAAAGAAAGGGACAAATCTCAGGAAAGGAGGAAGAAATGCCACTTGCATGTGACACTGGCTGGATTTTGTCAGTGTGGACATCCCAAGAGGGGAAATCCAAAGGGTGCACAGTAAATCTCCCATGGCAGGGGGACAATCAGCCCCCCACAAGTCCATGGGCCCCTTTAAGCAGATTTTTCCAGCCCCTCCACCTCTCCTCCTGCCAGGAGAGCAGTGGCGGTGGGAAGGGACCTTTGGAGTCTCCATCTCCACCCCAGCCTCCTGCTCACCCTGGTCTGGGGTGGTTTGAGCAAAATATTTCCTCTGTCAGTTGAAAAATAGACACACATCTGTTGTTGTTTTCACCAGCACAATCATTGTTTGGGCTTTTTCCTGGGTTTAAATGCTGGCATAAAGAGCAAGATGAGGCACTTTGCAAGAGCTCTATTTAATTATGGAGCTTTTGGGTGCTGTTCCCCACACCCAGCTCAGGTCCTGGAGGAAGGAGGGGGTCTGGTGACAGCTACAGAGAGGTGGCAAAATGCTAGGTGAGGAGTTCCCTGCCCTGGCTGACCCTTCAGGCAGCACCAGGCCAGGAAAAGTTGGGCATTCCTTTGAGAAAAGAGAACAAAAACCCTGCTGAGAAGTGCCAGAGAGCAAAGTGGGCTTAATCTTCAAGCTGACCTAGGAAGAAAATTATGACCCAGCAGATATTATGAGAGAGATGAGCAGAAATTATGAGAGAGATGAGCAGAAACTATGAGAGTCTTCTCCCTCAGCTTCCCTGCTACTACAGCCTGGGCATTTAACATTATTCCAGTGACCCTCTGAGGGTCCTGGAATAATGTTATGGAATATTCTAGTGACTCTCTGAGGTCACCTGCTCCTTCCCACCACCCTGAAGGGTGATGATGGGGGGATACTCCCCAAAACCCCTCCCTAGCCCAGCTCAGGACCTTCAGGCCGTGGTTCCCTGCAGTGCTCACCCTGTCCCCAGTGTCCCCTGCTGCCACCAGAGCAGGGACAGGCTGTGAGGTGCACAGAGCTTCTCCTTGTCCCCAGAATGCCCCAAAGCCAGACCCACCAGGGTGTGCGCAGAGATGCCCACAGGAAACAGGGGCTAGGCCAGGTCTGGGGTCCCCATATCCTTACAAGCAGCTTCTGGCCTCCAGGCTCACCTTCATCTCCCTCCTGGGCTTGCAGGAAGCCTGAAGAGCCTTTCCTGGTCCTTCAGAGGTTCTTCCTCTCCCAAAATCCCCGTTCCCCTCCGAGCCTCTCTGGACAAGCTGTGGGTTCTTCTCCCCTTATTTCCCCAGCCCCTGCCCCACCTCCTGAACCTCTCCTCTCCTCCTGGGCAGGCTGGGCCACTTTTGGGAAGGGTGACTCCACACCTGGCCCTCGGGCGGCACTCAGGACATAGGAGATGTGTTGCACATGCAAGGGCTGGGAGAGGGGATAATCCCCTCTGCTTGGCACTGGGGAGGCTGTACCCCTATGCAGAACCCAGATTTGGGCTCCCAGGGACTACTGGGACACCCCCACATGGGATAATCCCCTCTGCTTGGCACTGGGGAGGCTGTACCCCTATGCAGAACCCAGATTTGGGATCCCAGGGACTACTGGGACACCCCCACATGGGATAATCCCCTCTGCTTGGCACTGGGGAGGCTGTACCCCTACGCAGAACCCAAATTTGGGCTCCTAGGGACTACTGGGACACCCCCACATCAGGGTGAGCCCAGAGATGGTGGGTGGAGGCCAAGGCCAAGGTGCAAGGAGAGGCTGGGTTGGCTCAACCAAAGCCAAAGGCTGATTGCCCCTGCCCAAAGGGGTCCCAGAGGCACAGAGAGAGGCACAGAGGAACAGAGGGAGCCCCAGAGGCACAGAGAGAGGCACAGAGGTACAGAGAGAGCTCCAGACAGAGCCCCAGAGGCCCAGAGAGAGCCCCAGAGGCACAGAGAGAGTTCCAGAGGCACAGAGAGAGCCCCAGAGGCACAGAGAGAGGCACAGAGGTACAGAGAGAGGCACAGAAGAACAGAGGGAGCCACAGAGGCACAGAGAGAGGCACAGAAGAACAGAAAGAGGCCCAGAGGCACAGAGAGAGGCCCAGAAGAACAGAGGGAGCCCCAAAGGCCCAGAGGGAGCCCCAGAGGCACAGAGAGAACCCCAGAGGCCCAGACAGACCCCCAGAAGAACAGAGAGGCCCAGAGAGAGCTCCAGACAGAGCCCCAGAGGCAGAGAGAGAGAGCCCCAGAGGCACAGAGAGAGACCCAGAGGCCCAGAGGGAGCCCCAGAAGCACAGAGAGAGCCACAGAGCAGCACAGAAAGCCTGGCTGTCCTCAAAGAAACAGCCTGAAAATGTGAGCAGGGCAGCCCTGGAGCCAGGCTGGGATCCCCCAGCTCCAGATGTCCACTGACACATCCAGAAAACATCAAGGCCTTTGCTTTTCCCCTCAGCCAGGGCAGCACAAATTTTGTAGGCACAAATCCCTCTGAGCACAAATCCCACTTGCGAGCTCCTCACCAGCAGCCAGGACAGCCACAGCTGGAGCCAGGACAGGTTTTCTCCCATTAAAAGGAGCTGAGGGGCACTGAGGGGACACAGGGAGCCTGGGCAGATCCATGTCCAGGCATGGCAGCAGCAATGGCACGGCCACCCCTCCTTGCTTTGCCACCCTGTGAAATACAAAGCTGTGTTTCATGTCAGGTACATACAGACAATGTGTGTATTTGTGATTGCGATATGTGTGGACACTGACAATGGGACAGTTGCGAATTCTAATAATAACTGAGGAAAATAAAGCATGGAAAAAGGCCTTTGAACCTCTCTTTTGTTTGCAATTAACCCCGGTTGATTTAGGACCATTGGAATTAAAGCTTTAAGGATGTTGCTTTTTGCTTGCATTTAATCCATAAAGGGCTCTGCAATAATAACCTTTTGAAGTATAATTTTAGAATATTACTTGTATCTTTGAAACTATAGCTTTGGAATATATATAAAGGAAACATGCTTATCTCACACCTTAGTGAAGCAGAGAAAAACAGCTTGAGAAAGGAAGATGAACATCACCTCAAGGATTTATGGTTTCAACCAAGAGAAGCTGGACATCACTGTTATGATATTTATAGTCTCTGCAAATAAAAGGTGGATCCACATCTGGGGAGCTGGACTCCACCAGATGGGATTTGTCTTTCTTCTTTCAGAAACTGGACTGTCACCATCTGGGGATACTCCTTTTGAGATACATCCTGAGAAAAACTAAATAACAATAGTGTATAGAATTGTGACGTAAAAATTGGGAAATAGAAACTGCTGATGAGTAAAAATTGGAAAAGAAACTGCTGAGAAAGCTGATGAGTACCCCTATAAATACCTGTAACCATCAATTATCAGTGTGCAGTTGGAGGGAAAGCTTCTCCCACTGTACCCAGTGCTGTATTGCTCATACTTTACCATATTAAAAAATAAATTGATTGCTGCTTGAACATTTGCCTAGTCAAGCTTCTTATTAATAATAACCCTCAGCCCAGCAGCCAAGGGACAAGTGCCTGTCCTTGAAGCCCACGAGGTGTTTCCAGCCCTGAGCTGGGGTGGTTTGCACAATAGCTCCAGATGGAGGGTGGGGAGGGGTTTAGGGACAGGAGCAGTAAAAAGATTAGGCAGAGAGGGAGCTCAGCACAGAGCCCTGCTTGGCCCTCTGGTGACAAAGGAGGAAAATGATGCCTCATGTTTAGCTTTTATATTTTTCAGATTCTGTGCTGCTTTAGTGTGTGGGTCTGGGCTTCACATTGAGGGATGGTGAGCTCTCTGCGCAGAGCAGGGAAACAAAATAATTCATGCTCCAGCTGGGCACCAAGGACAAATGATCCAAATCTCAGGCCCAAGAGCACAAACAACGTGGGCTGGAGAGAGAAAAACAAGCAGGATGGGACTGGATGGGCTAAATTTAGCTGGAATTGGACAATGAACTGCAATTTGCAAATGAACCGGAACTTAGAAAAGTGTGAGACCTTGTGACGAGTTGGGCATTTTGTGACCATTTTGGTTCATTTTAGGTTCATTTTGTGCCCATTTTGGTTCATCTTGGGTGCAGTCCTGGCTGGACTGTTGTGCTGCCCAAGGTGGATCCATGGAGGAGATTCTTTTAATAAATCCCTGTTTTATTCTTTAACTCTATCCAGCCTCTGTTCTAGGTCAGCCTTCTCAAGGCACCAAAAGCAAACCAGAGGCAGGGATGGCCTGGGGCTTTGGGGTTGGGTGGGATTTTTTCACCATCAGATTTTACATTCTGTTACTGACAAAGCAGGGAAACCTGAGCCCAAGTTTTTTCTAAATTAAACTCAGCAGCACTGATTGCACACACAGAAAGGAACATCCCACCTGCTCTGTGACGGAAGGAACACCGAAAATCTTTAAAGTAGCTCAAAGTGATTCCCATCCTCTCCCAGGAGAGAGCTCCATCCCCACAGAGCCCTGGGTGGCCATGGTCAGGCTGCTCAACCACCCCATGCTAAAGGAGAGGGGGATAACCATAGTTTGTTGGGTTTGGGGTTTCTCCATACACCAAACCTCCCCACTTTCCGTGAGGGGTTGGGCAGGAGCTCCTTTCCCTCACCAGCACTTTCACAGCACCCTCTGCTGCCCAGACTGTCCTGTTTCCTTTGGAGAGCACCATCCCATGGACAGGGAGCGCTCCAACACTGCCAATTCTCAACTTCTTTTCTGACAAGGTCAGGCTTAAATGTGAGAGATGCTATTTCTTGTTGGGACTCAGATGTTTATTAGTTCTTATCTATGTCACAGCCTCACAAACCCTGAGTTCTACAGCACTTCCCTCGAACAAACTAAAATGAAGCTCCATCTCTCTCTCTCTTTACAAGGCCTTTTAAGGATAAACTGTCCATTTAAGAAATGACACCTGAATTATTTTTACTTTTAACCCAATAACCAACCACCCATGGCCCACAATGTGGAGTTTTTTATCCAGTTACACAAAACCACCCAAACCCATGGAGAAGAAGGTGAAGGAGAAGAAGGTGAATGAGAAGAAGGTAAAGAAGAAGGTGAAAAAGAAGGCCCAGCCTCTGCCCTAAAACCTCCATCTTGTTTATGTATATTACTGTATTCTAAAACCTTAAACTCTGAGTTTCCCACCCTGTGATATTACACACTTCTATTCAAACTCCACACCCACAATCCCAGTTCTGTCATTCCATTTTGGAAGTCTTCTCCATGGCCTCAGGTCAATGCAGTGTTCTCTTGGGGGTCAGGGTTTGTCTAAACCCTTAAACTCTGAGTTTCCCACCATGCAATATTACACATTTCTATTCAAACTCCACACCCACAATCCCAGATTATGGCAAGACTTGAATTCTACCATTCATTCAGATAGAACTGAATTCTATTATTCCATTTTGGAAGATTTTCCATGGCCTCAGGTCAATGCAGTGCTCTCTTGGAGTCAGTGCCTGGCAGCACAGAAAGTCCAAAATTCTCAGCAACCAACATGATTCCCTCTCCAACACAAGACCTCAGTGCCCCCATGGCCAGCCAGCAGCTAGCTGAAGAGCAAGGAAATTTAGGAAAAACATCGTTTTTTCCCCAGCACAGGGCAGGGGGTCTCAGGTGCCTCTCTGCCTATGTGTGGGGGATGCTCCTTCCCAAGGCTCCCACCATGGTCTCACCAGTCCTGTCCTAGCAGCAGCACTGGTGGGAAGCAGCCCAGTGTTCACCTTCTGGCTGCTTTGCAGTAATTCCCTTCCTTCCAATGGAGGGAAATAAAATGACTGTTCAAACCTATGGAATGAGCTTGGCTCAGGACTGTTGATTTTTATCACAATTTTTATTTTTTTTTATTTTCTCATGCCTTAACTGTGCAGTGATTCACCCTGGGGGCTGCCCACTGATGTGGCCCTGAACTTGATGCCAGGACCAGGAGTGTCCATAGGAACCTTTCTGATGTCCTGTCCCCAAAAGAAAGGCAAACTCTGTCGGTGCTGGCAGGAAGAGGGAGTGGCTTTTTTCTCATCTAGGCATACCTGATCCTGTTCTTCCACCTTTCCTCCTCTCCCTGCAGGGGAAAAATCAGATTCTTCTCTGAGCCAGTGCTTATTTGAGGGTGAGGCAGCTGGGAGGGCTCCTGGCACTGCCTGCAGCTAGTCCTTGGTGAAGAGCAGCCATTGGAGATCCAGCTACAGGTGGAGCCATCGAGGATTTCCAAAGCCTGTCTGCATCTGAGCAAGAACGGCTGGGCCAGACCTGGCAGGTGCTGGCTGCAGGAGGGATGCTGGATCCCACACTCAGCACCAGGGCCCTGTAGCAAGGAGTGGAGAGGTGGCCACCAAGGCAGAGGTGACAAAAATGACACCCATTGTGGCAGACATCTTTTATGAAAAATCCTTTTCTTAGGATTTTTCCTCCTGAGAAGCTGAGAGGCTTCAAGAACAAAATGTAAACATTGATTATCTGCTGCTGTGGAATGCAACAGGTGCATCTGTGATTGACCCATGTTGGTTGTTTCCAATTAATGGTCAATCACAGCCCAGCTGGCTCAGACAGAGAGCCCGAGCCACAAACTTTTGTTATCATTCCTTCCTATTTTATTCTTAGCTAGCCTTCTGATGAAATCCTTTCTTCTATTCTTTTAGTATAGTTTTAATGTAATATATATCATAAAATAATAAATCAAGCCTTCTGAAACATGGAGTCAGATCCTCGTCTCTTCCCTCATCCTGGGACCCTTTGAACACGGTCACAACCCAGAGCTCCTGTGACCTGTCACCATCCCTGCAGGCACCTCCTCGGGCAGCTCCTGGCCGAAGGCTTCACCAGCTGGCAAGAGGGGAAGCCTGGGAAGATGTGAAATCCCCATCCACAGCTCCTTCCCTCAGCAGGGATGGATTTTTTTTTTTTATTTATTTATTAGTGCACTCTCTGAAGTCACTGTTTGTCAGAACCCAAGAAATCCCTCTGGCTGCCCTGGATGGCTCAAGCCCCTGCCCAGGGGGCTCAGAAACCTTGGCACAGAGCCCAAGCCCCCTGTGCCTTTGATTTAGCCCTTGGAAAAAACAATTACCAGCCTTATATGAAGAATTACAAGCCACGACAATTTAAGCAGAATGATAGTAAATTTATCACAGGGTGGAAAAATAGATTTTTGGGGGGGTTTTAGAATGGGAGTTCAAGGGACAAGATGGAGAAATTTGGGTGTGTTCAGCCTTTCTCCTTCTTCTTCTTGGCCTCCATCTTCTGGGTGATGTTGGCACTTTTGGATTGGTTTAGAGTAGAAACTCGCTGTCTAACATAGGTTATAGGTGTTGGGAAGTTATGGTAAGTATTGTACAGGTAGTTTTTAGTATAAAAAGATAACACCAGTGTGCCTCTGTCTGACCTGCTGAACGGACCTCAGCAGGCCAGGAGAAAGAATTTTATAGATAAGATAAAATAAACAGCCTTGAGAATGAGAGCTGAAGAGCTCTGACTCCTTCTTTGACAGCCAGGCTGGGAAAAGAGATTTTCTAACGCATCCCAGGGTCACTGTGACCAGCGGAAATCCTGAGAACTGCTGGGACTGGGATGTTCTGCATTTTCAGGCTCATTCCGTGCCAGGAGGCAGCAGGAAGAGCCAAAAGGAGCTTTCCCAGTGGAGTTTGGTGGGATGAGCTGGTCCCACTCATCCCCTTGCACCAAGCCAGCCCCGGTGCAGGTGAGAACCCTCAGTGCCCACCCTGGGGTCCACAGGGGTCACAGCCACGCCAGGTGACTCCACCAGCTGGAACCAACCCGTTTGTCACAGCTCTGAGTGGAAACACTGCCAGGGCAGCCCAGCAGCCCTGGGGTGAATTCCAGCTCGGCAGGAGGAGGAGGGACCAGAGGGAGTGGCGGCTCCCAAATCTCCCGAATCGGGAGCAGAGGCAGCTCCAGCCCCATGGGAGCGGCGTGAGCAGCCGGCAGCACCTTCTGCTCGGGGCACAGCGGGGACAAGGGCTCTTCTGGACACCACGGGTAATCCCTGTGCTCGGTGCCACCCCTGGGGACAGCCATGGGTAATCCCTGTGCTCGGTGCCACCCTGGGGACAGCGGGACAGGGCACCTGGACAGCCCCGGGGAATATCCTCCAAAGGAATGTCCTGCTCAGGAAAGGGGTGGGAGTGTTTGGAGAGGGGTCAGGACAGTGCTGCTGTTCCTATTTACCCTGCTGCGCCTCTGGGATGTCACCAGGTGTGCTGGGATGAGGGACACGTCGCAAAGGGAATATTTTCCCAAGCTGTTGGGAGGAAAGGGCCATCCATCCCAAGCAAGGCTCTGCCCTGGAATTTGTATGCCCTTCTCCTGACGCTACGTCACAAAAATGTGCTCTGCTGGCTTTGCTAAAGGCTCGCCCTAAAAATACCAACTCCAGAGCCTGGTGGAGCCCAGCGACAGGCGACAGTGTCCCCAGATCGCAGCCGGGGGGCTCCGGGGGATGGTGGGGTGGGAGATGGGGTCCCTGGGGCCGGGCACGGCCGCCCCTTGGCGGTGCTGAGAGCGGGAGGAGCCGCAGGGCTGTGTCCAGGTGAGCGCTGCAGGTGCGCCCATCCTCCGCTGCCACCGCTCCGGGAGGGACCGGGTGGCTTCTGTCACCTCCCGCAGCACGGGCAGCCCGCGGCAGGATCGGGGACAGCCGGGAAGGGACAGAAATCTGCTCCCAGATCTCCTCGATTTCACCTGTGTGGGTGCAACACACCTGGCCCTGGCATTCAGTGGGAATTTGGGAATCCCTGCTAAAGTCTCCACACAATTGAACTCCTCTAAGTAGCCGAGGGAACTTCTCTAAGTAGCAGAAATACTGCTGCAAATTTGTCACCTCCAATAAATTTATCCCTTCCTATATGGCAGGGTTCTGCCCAGGGCAGAGAGATTGGATCAAAATGATCTTTAAGGTCCTTTTCCAGCCAGAGCATTCTGTGATTCTGTTTCTGTTGGATAAAACAGCACAGTGAGATGTTTTGTGGTAGGAACAAGCTGAAGCAGACACCAAAATCTTCCCCAGGAAGAACAGGGGCGTCCTGAGATGGCATCTCACTCAGGTCTGCAAAAACAAACCCAGGGTATCCCAGGGTTTCTCCCAGCCATAAGGAGAACCCAAGCAAACCACATTGTTTGGTTTCTTCTTAAGAACGTGGCCCTGAAACTTAAACTGGGTGATTTACTCCTCATTAGGTCAGCTGTCAGTGGAACAAAATAACGTATTCTTCCAACTATCCAAGAAATTATTTTAAATGGATGATTTATAATCACCTCCTCGAAATCCAGGTTTGCCCAGGCACATTCAGATGTACCTGTACCTCTGTGTGTTTCTGAATATGAGAGCCTGATGGACAATGTGGGACTAAAATGGGATGGAATTTGGACTCTGGCTTTTTTCAAGACTAGAAAAATGAGCCATTTTCAGAATTAGAGGAATTCTGGTTTAGAATAATTTCACCTGTTGAGGGGTCACGTTGATATCCTGGTGGAAGTGCAGGGCAGATCAAGAGAACTCCCCACAGCTTCTGTGCCAGCAAAGTCCCTCAACGTTCTGCCAATGTTTTGCAGAGCACCATGACATAGCTGTTCCTCACCATTTCTTGTTTCTGTGCTAGTCCCAGTGCCAGCAAAGTCTCTCAACGTTCTGGCAATGTTTTGCAGAGCACCATGATGTGGCTGTTCCTCACCATCTCTTGTTTCGTGCTCGTCGCTGCAAAGTCAGAGGAGAACCCCGAGGTGTCCATGGATGTTGTAAGTCCCTTCTTTTACTGCTTGGTTGAGCAAGTTACCCAAATGGTCTGTGCAAGACCCACGGGCTCTGTTTGTCTTCACTGAGGGTTGACACCAGGATTTTATGAGATATTTGTCTCCCTGCTCTTACATGCACAGAGATTTATGGCAGGAATTTCTGGGGGGATGTCACAGACATGTTTTATGAAAAATCCCTCCTGAGAAGCCCAGAGGCCTCAGGAACAAAATATAAACAATGGTTATCTGCTGCTGTGAAATGCAACAGGTGGATCTGTGATTGGTCTCATGTGGTTGTTTCTAATTAATGGCCAATCACAGCCCAGCTGTCCAGACTGTCTGGTCAGTCACAAGCCTTTGGTATCATTCTTTTTCTATTCTTAACTAGCCTTCTGATGAAATCCTTTCTTCTATTTTTTTAGTATAGTTTTAATAATATATATATATATAAAATAAAATAATTAATCAAGCCTTTTGAAAAATGGAGTCACATGCTCATCTGTTCCCTCATCCTGGGACCCCTGTGAACGCCATCACCGGGGGAGTGCAGGTTTGGTCAGGACAGCCCTCACAGCCCTCTCAGGCTCAGAGCTGGGCTGTCTGTGCTGCCCTGCTCTTGATTGCTACACAAAAAGTGACAGTTCTTCGCCAGACCTGCCAAAAATTCTGCCTGGAGTCATGACATCACCATGGGGGCATTGGGAGGGACTGAGCCCAGCTTCCCCCTGGTGTCACCATCACCAGCACAGATGGCTCTGCCCAGCCAAGCCCTGCCACCTCTGAGGACAGAGACTCTCCTTAGGGACTGTCCCTTGCTCTCCTTCCCTTTCCACAGGGCGAAATTGTGCGGTACCACGGGTACCCCTACGAGGAGCACGAGGTGCTGACAGAGGATGGATATTTCCTCACCCTGCAGAGGATCCCCCACGGCAGAGGCAGCCCAGGGAGCTTCAGTCTCTCCCACAAGGCAGGGGCACAGCCATCCAACATGTTCTGTCCCCGTAAGTGCCACAGGGAGCTCTGCCTGGCCCTGCCACCCTGAGGGCTTGGCTGGGCTGGAATAACCCACGGCAAAGGCAACCTCACTGTGCTTGTATTTGTTTTGGTTTAGGGCAAAATTGGGAGAGAACTTCTAAAGGGGCTTTTTTAGAAAAGCAGATTTAATTTTTTTTTTTAATTGGTCTGGGAGAAAATTTTTTTTTAAGAGAAAAGTGGAAAAAACTTGTTTAAACAATAAAAACTTTATTAAACAATAGAACTAATACTATATTAAACAATATTTTTTTTTGGCTGTTTTAAAAGAGATGACAAACTCAGAAAGTCTCTTTTCTAGGTTGCAGTTTAGTTTACTTAGTCTCTTATTAGTCTTTTTGGTGCTGAAAATGCTGCAGCTCAGGTTTGGTCTGGTGGGTTACAGGTGTGAGCTGTTGGTGGGTTTTTTTGGGTGTCCAGTTTAGAGTAGGTTTAAAGAAAAGGGAAAAAATTACAGTCTAGGGAAATATTTTGCTTCAGCTAGCTAAAACTAACTTAAATAAAGGAGAGATTTTTGTTGTTTATTTATTTGCAGACAACACAGTTTAGGAGAAGGAATGTGGAGGAATGAGTGTAGTGTTTGAAAATAAACTGCAGCCGGTGTTTTTTTCGGTGTTTTTTTTTCTTTATTCTTTGGAATAAGTCTTAAACTTATTATTCAGTATAAACAGAACAGATGGTTGGGGATAAAAGCATCATGTAGTCAGCCCAGGACAGTGCTCCAGGAGGAAGCTGTTCCTGTAGGAAAAACCAGGCAAATAGCCTCAGGAGCAGAAGAAATGCAGGTGCCCACCATGCTGACCTTGTTCTGAGAGGATTTGCCCCAAAGAGGAAGGAGGATGAACGGGGCAGAGAAATCTTGCCCCGGGTTTTAAAAACCAGAAGTGGAGCAGCAAAAAGCCACTAGTGAGGGAAGGAAAACAAACCAGGCAGCCAACCCAGTGCCAGCTCAGTATTTTGCATCCTTCCTGTGTCCTGTTCAGTGCCATCTCACCATTTGGGGATGTTCCTGTTCTGTACTGCTCCAGAGCAGTTGTGGGGTCATGTGCAGTTCTTGTCATGTACATGGCAAATAAGTGTAAAAAACCCCAGATTTCCAGTCTCTGCCCTGGTCTTCTTCAAAAACAGCTCCCCAGAGAGGTTGAGGACAGAGGACAGTGTCCCTGCCCTGGTGTGAGTTCCCAGGGTTGCTGCCAGAGCATGAATGTGAGTGTAAATCAACATGATGTGAGTGTTCGATTTTGCTCATGGTCACAGAAAATGATTCCTTCTCTTCCTTCCTCCAGCCCCAAAGGCTGTGGTCCTCCTGCAGCACGGCCTGGTGTTGGAGGGAAGCAACTGGGTCACCAACTTGCCCAACACCAGCCTGGGATTCATCCTGGCCGATGCTGGCTACGATGTCTGGATCGGGAACAGCCGGGGCAACAGCTGGTCACGGAAACACCAGGAGTTTGAGTTCCACCAGCAGGAATACTCAGCTTACAGGTATTTTCCATGAAACTGGAGGTTGGGCAGGTCCCTGGTACCCTCAGCAGTGTCTCCAGGCTGGAGGAGAGGCGCTCCTGGCAGTCACACCCTCTGCCAGGGGGCAGAAATTGGGTTGTCAGCTCCTGCCAAAGCGCTTGCCTGCCCCCAAGCAGCCATGGCAAGGTCAGAAAAGGTGATTTTGTCACATGCCTGTCTCCCCTGCAGCTTCCATGAGATGGCCATGTACGACCTTCCAGCGTCCATCAACTACATCCTGCAGAGAACGGGGCAGGAGCAGTTGTACTACGTGGCTTATTCCCAAGGCACCACCACAGGTACTGAGGAGGAGAGCAGGCCTGGCAGGGTCACACCAGCTGTGCACCCCCAGCCTGGGAGTGCTCCTAAAACCTTGGCCAGGGAGTGTTCCTAAAAAAGGAAGGGAAATGTCCAGGTATTTCCAAATAACAAAAAGGAAAAGAGCAGGTAATTGTTTTAACAGAAGAGTTTTGAGCACTGGCAGCCCCAAACTGGGTTCATCTCATTGCTGCCAGAGCCTGACCTGCTGGAGCCACCTCTGAGGGGCTTTAAGGTGGGCACAGACACCTGGAAGCCAACATCTGCCTCAGGAACAGCAGGGCAGGGTCTGCTTCCCTCTCCCCCATGCAGGTTTCATTGCCTTCTCCTCCATTCCCGAGCTGGATCGCAAAATCAAGATGTTCTTCGCCTTGGCTCCCATCACCGTCAACTCCCACATGAAGTCCCCCTTGGTGAGGGTGTTTGACCTCCCCGAGGCGCTGATCAAGGTGTGTCCTCAGCACAGGTGGGGTGTGAGGGGGAGGAGGGACTGGGAGGCTCACCTGAGACAGGCAGGGCTCCTCCATCACCTCCATCTCCCTGCTCTGGGTGTTTGTGTGTGTGCTGTGAGCCTGGAGGGCAGCAAATCATCCTCCTGTCCAGCCTTCATCACAGAACTTTTAACAGGGATTGGGTATGGGTCTCTTCTCCCTGGAGAAACCTCTCCTAGGAAGGGCAGGGCTCTTCCAGGGCTGTGGCCTTTTCTGAAAAGCCAAAATGATGAAGCACAGCAAAGTTGTCGGCAACTTTCAGGGGTGAGCAAAGAGGTGGGGAGCACCCGGAGGCAAAACAGAGCGTGATGCACCCCACTGATCCACCCCTCTGACTTCCACAGATCATTTTAGGCAAGACAGTGGTCTTTGATAAGGGTGAGGTGTTGAAGCAAGTGATTTCCACAATGTGCACCTACCCCATGCTGAAGACTGTGTGCTCTTTGGTGTTTTACCTGCCTGGTGGGTTCACCAACAGCTTGAACGTGGTATGTACACTGCAGCTTCCCTCTCCAGACATCCCCTTCCTCACTGTCCCAGCCTGAGCTGTCCATCTGCTGCCTCCATGGCCTTCCACATCTTTGGCTGGTGGAAAAATTCAACTTGGAGGCACCAGGGTGGGGTGTTCTCAAGTGAATCATTGGTGTAATTCCTTAATATTCCAAGAAGGAAATGTGTTAGGGGCAACACACAGAGCTGAGGTTTGGAAAAGATCCTGAGTATGAGGTATGGAGCTTTACTTTGCCTTGAGAACCAGGCAGGCTCCTACCATGGGATTTGCTCAGCTTGCTGCAGGGAGATCTACAGCTCAGTGTGGGTGAGGCTGGTGTGGCTACTGAACAGGTTTGGTTTTATTTCTGATGTGGGTTTTTTGGGGAAGGAGCAAAGAATAAACGTCTCTGGTGGTCTTGCAGAGCCGCATGGATGTGTACCTGGCCCGCTACCCTGACTCCACATCCCTAAAAAACATGTTGCACTGGCGCCAGGTAACACCTCCTGTTCTCCTCCCTCTGCTCGGGGAATGATCTGGGAATAAAACTGGGAACAATCCCCCCCTGCTCCCCCTGCAGAGCTGTGTGAGGGAGGGAGTCCAAAGCTGAAACACTGCTGCAAATCAAGTCATTTATCCCAACAAAAGAACTGGGGCTTGTAGGAGGAGGAGGTGGAACCTGGTGATAAACCAGGACAGGAGATGCCAGAGGGAAAGCTGAGGGTCAGAAAGACCACTAATGGTACAACTAATTGTTGAAAATGTTCTACTCAGATCCTCCTGCTGATGGCATTGACCACAACACACAAAACTTGTCCAAAGTTGTCTGATTCATGTCTCTTTTGAGGCTCTTGGCTGTACACCAGGTTCTTCACTGTGGTCTTCCTGGGGCTGGGCTCTCCTCCCAAAATCCAAATGTAAAAATGCATTCCCTGAGCCTTGGTGGCAGGAGGGAGCACTGCAGTCCCTGTCACCTCTTTTATCTTCCTTAGAGCCCCCTCCAATGTGTGGATAATGAACATAATTCTCCTTTTCCAGCTCTATCAGACTGGGGAATTCAAGCATTACGATTACGGCAGTGACAATGTGCTTCATTACAACCAGGTAAGAGAGAGCCATGCTCAGAGAAAAAAAATAAAATAAATATTCCAGTGAAAATATTGCAGTGGCTGAGACTGAATTTGGACAATTGTGCAGCCTGGAATAGCGGAATGTGCCCCTGCCCATGGCAGGGGAGCTGGGACAAGATGATGTTTGAGGTCCATCCCAACTTGAGCCATGCTGTGATTCCATTAATTACATTATGTTTATGGAATTTGCTTTGTATGGGGATGCAGGTTCATAACTTTCTAATAAAAGTAAGTAACTCAGTCACTCAGTGATGACTTTTTGAGCCTCTGGTGGAAAGAACAGGAGCCCAAGGCACAGTGAGGTTCCCTGGTGATAGCTCCTCTTCTATCCCTTGGGATAAGGGAGAAATTCCAAGCAGCCACCAGGACACACTTTGAATTTTTGGCCTGCCCTTTGCCTCCCTCCTGTCTTGCAGAGCACTCCTCCCTTCTATGAGCTGGAGAACATGAAAACCCCGCTGGCTGCCTGGTATGGGGGCAAGGACTGGATCTCAGCCCCCGAGGACGTGAACATCACCCTGCCCCGCATCTCCAACGTGGCCTACAAAAAGTACATCCCCGAATTTGTCCACTTTGACTTCCTCTGGGGCAAGCAGGTCTACGAGCAGGTCTACAAAGAAATGCTTGACCTGATGGAGAAGGGTGCCTAGAGTTGAAGCAGTGATTGTTGGCTTCTCCATGACTTCTGGGGCTTCTTTCATCTTGGGGGGGAATGATTTTAAAAAAGAAGAAAAACTGGGGGGAAAAGCTCAATAAACTGCTACACTTGGTCTGGAGTGATATTGCTCTGTCCAGTGAGGACAACCAGGCAATGCAATGACTGGGGAAGCACTCTGGACTGAGGTTCAGTTGGCTGAAGTTGAGCACAGCCCTCACACCCTGAGTCTCCCACGTGCCTCCCTCGCCACCAGTTTAGTGGAACTTGGCTCCTGGTGGCCATTGTGGACTCTGGGCTCCTTGAGCTTGGGTTCCCAGCTGCAAACAGCTGGCCAGGAGCCCCATGCCCTCCTGGATGCTGGTGTCCCACAGGGATGGGATGAAGCCACGTGGTGGATGGGTCCTGCTTTGTTCACCTTCTGGCAGCACTTCCACACCAAGAATCCCAACATCCTGGCACTCACTGCCTTCCTTCAGGGCTGGAAGGAGCTATGGACGTCCTGCCTGGTGACAATGAAGAGTGGCCATGGGTTTGTATCCATGAGAACCCCCCACCTCACTAACAAATGGGACATCCTTCTCAGATTCATGCTGATTTGGATAATCTCACTTATGCACAAAGGAGTTTCAGTAAATTCTAGCAGGAAACACCATTTTTTCACCACTTCAAGCTATCCTAAGGCACAAACCCAGCTGCAAATGCCACCTTTTGCTGCCTTTCAGGGAGACAGAAGAAGAGTGTGGTGGAAAGCAGCAATGAGCCTAAATCTGTTTTCAGCTTCTGGATTAAATTGTTAATGATACCTTGATCAGAGGAGGAATCGTGAATTTGCCAGTTTGTGTATCTACCATCTTAAAATACGCCTGGGAGCAAGCAGGGCAAAGGATAAGGTTCTCTTTTTACAAATATGTAATAATAATAATAATAATGATAATGATAATGATAATGATAAAGTGGATAGGGTATACTGGGCTCTGTGTGGTTGTACTGTTAACTAAAGGCTAAAACTCTGGAGAAATTGGCACAAGCCCTGGCACAGGGTGCCCAGAGCAGCTGTGGCTGCCCCTGGATCTCTGGAAGTGCCCAAGCCCAGGCTGGATGGGGCTGGGAGCAACCTGGGACAGTGGAAGGCGTGGAATGAGGCAGGATTTGAGGTCTCTTCCAACCCAAACCATTCCAGGATTCTGTGGGTGTGAAGGTTTTCAGCACAGACCTCTCACCAGGTGCAGGTGCAATGCTCCTCGTGCTCAGGGATCATTTCCAGATGATCCTGATGCCTCCAGCATGTCCCTGCAGGGAAGAGGTGGGTGGTGAGGAGGGCGTGGAGCCCAGCACAGCTGCTCTCCAGAGCCAAACTGTGGGGTTTTAGCAGCAGAGATTCATCCAGGAGTCTGGAGATGGTGGCACAGGGCTGGCACTGCTCAGGTTAGCACCTGTAAAGTGTTTCACTTTCTACCCTTAGAACTGGAACTGACCACAGCAGAAAACAGGGCAGGGTGAGGCCATGGCAGGGTGCAGGAATGAGGCTATAGGTCAGATAGGATCTGCCTGGATTGCCAGTGATTAGCTGCCTCACTTAGGACATTTGTAATGACATCTTTTTCTCTGTGATCAGCTGCTCGAGGCAGGGCCATGCCCTGGAGCAGCACCTTACAGGGCTGCACTGTGCTCATGCCATGGATAGCAGTGCAAATGGAAAATAAACACACTGAGAGGCTGCCAAGATGCTCCCCCTGCAAACTTCTGAGAAGCTGGCAGGAAATCAGAATCACAGAATCCTTAGAGACCCCCCAAGATCATCAAAGCCAACCATGCTCACCACTAAACCATGTCCCACACCTGCCATTTATTCAAATTCAGTTTTAAAGCACTAACTTTTAACTTCTGAAAACTCATTAAAAGTGCAGGATTTAGTCTCTTTCTGTTCAAGTTATGAAGTTTCTGCCACTCCTGCAGTTATCTGGCTCAGTGTTTGCAATGCATTATCTTCATTCTGCCCTGACAGAGCACTCTGGTGAGGTTCTGGTTTGATCAGATTCTGGCACTTGCTTCCCCTCTGCTGCCAAAGGATCAATAACAAATGAAGAGGTTTGTTTTGGAAGCAAATTGATTTATGCCTGCAGAATAAATATTGTGACATTCCATCTCCTGGGATGGCCATGGCAGGATTGGAGGCCTGGCGTGTCTCAGCTCTGTCAGGCAAGTCCAACACCACCAGGCAGGTCTGTGGCGATTGCAGAGGGTATCACAGAATCATGGAATCATGGGTGGTTTGGGTGGGAAGGGACCTCAAATCCCATCTCATCCCACCCCAAGGACACCTTGGTGGCTCCAAGCTCTGTCCAGCCTGGCCTTGGGCACTGCCAGGGATCCAGGGGCAGCCACAGCTGCTCCACGGCCTGCCCACCCTGCCAGGGAACAATTCCTAATTCCCAATATCCCATCCAGCCCTGCCCTCTGGCACTGGGAAGCCATTCCCTGTGTCCTGGCACCCCATCCCTTTTAAACAATCTCTCCATGTTTCTTGTATCTCCTTCAGGCCCCAATTTGGTCACCCCAGAGCTTCTCCTCTCCAGGCTGAACACCCCCATCTCTCCCAGGAGAACTGCTGCATCTCTCTGCCCATCCTGGTGCCTCCCCTGGACCTGCTCCAACAGATCAATGTCCCACATATCTCAGTCCATGAGTGTTCCATTCACCCACAAAGCCTCCACCACCCTTTTCTCCTCCCTGTGTGGGCAAAGCAGCCTCAGCCACACGTGGGGAGGATGTTGGTCACTCAGCCTCTCATTCAATCTTCTCCCAGGTGTGCTCATGCAGAGGGTGTCACATGAGGCTGCGAGGGCTCACAGCTGTGTCACATCCCCCCCAGGGGACAGCAGTGTCACCCTGCTGCCTCATCCATCATTTCCCGCCTCACACAGGGCAGCAGCACACACAGGAGTCGTGGAGAGGAGCACAGGCTCCTTCCCACATGCACAGGCTTGAAGAGAGGTGGTGCTTTTGCAAGCAGCCCAAGGATTGCTCTGGTGTCTGCTTTAAGCAACGTGCTGGCCCGTGGGGTTGTTTGGAAACTGATTTGTCCCAGAGTTAATCTAGGACAAGGTTTCGTGGAGTTATGACAGATGGCGTGCTGCCTTTTCACGTCTTTTTGATCCTTTACAGCCTGACAACGATTTCCAGAGGCATTGCTGAGTACATTCAGGCTTTTCATTTGGTTGAAAGCACTGTGCTTTCTTATTTCAGGAACTCACAGCAATTTCCCATGTTATTTCCAGCGTAATTTTCAAATTTTCTTTTGAGTTTGTTAGATGAACCTCTGAGAGAGAGAGAGACTCTGGTTTTAAGGTTTGCATTTTCTTGGAATGGGACTTCAAGCAGGTGGGAATATAAGGCCATGGAAAGTTAGCTGAAATCAAAATCAGATGTAATTTTCTCCAAAACTTCACAAACAGGTGTTGAAAGCTCAGCCAGATCAGTTTGTCTCCAGTGTGCTGGGAAATAATCTCAGGAGCACCATGGCACCAAATTTGAAAACTGTGGGTGTTTCTTTACTGAGAAATTTTGCTCATGTTTTCCTAGGTCTGTTCAGGCACAAACCAAACTTTTTCAGCTGTAAAATACACTTTAAAGCCAATGAAGAGAAACCAGGGAAGAAGTACAACAAGTTCAGTGTTGTTCTGGGCTCTTCTGAGCACAGGAACAGGGGAGGAATTACTGAAGAAACACCAGTGACCACATCTCCATTATTTCCCAACCCACATTTATGCTTTTGTTTATTCCATTTCATTAGAGAGAATGGAATGATTGCATGAGCAACCCAAACAAGGTGTTGTGAAAAGATCAGCTCTTTCCTCAAGCTCCACTGTGCAACTCCAGCACGGGCAAAACCCCTATAAATGTGCAAACCAGAGACAGCCCAGCCTAGCCAAAGGGACTTTAAACCAGGAAAAGCACGAGCAGATAAGGACTCACCAGGTTCTTCAACCTGAGTGTTCTCCAAGGTTACTGCAAGGCAGTATTGTGTTTATTTGGCAGGGATTGCACAAGAGCTGGCATTCATATTGCCAACAGCAGGGTGCTGCTCCCTTTCCCAGCTCAGGATGCCAGGGCCAGGTGGTTTGTGGCTGCTTCACCCTTGGCAAGAGGCACCTGGGCACAGAAAAGGGGCAGCAGGAGGAGCAGAGGGCACCATCTGGAGGGAAGGTGGGCATGGACAGCAGGATTAAACCCAATCCCAGAGCTGAGGAGGTGCCTGGTGGAAAGGGACAGCAGGAGGAGCAGCAGCAGGGCCCCAGCTGAGGGAAGGTGGGCATGGAGAGCAGGATTAACCCCTGTCCCAGAGCTGAGAAGGTCCTGGTGGAAAGGGGCAGCAGCAGGAGCAGCAGCAGGGCCCCAGCTGAGGGAAGGTGGGCATGGACAGCCCAGGAGAGCAGGGTTAACCCAAATCCCAGAGCTGAGGAGGTCCTGGTGGAAAACAGTAGCAGGAGCACTGAGGGAAGGTGGGCATGGACAGCAGGATTAACCCAAATCCCAGAGGTGAGGAGGTGCCTGGTGGAAAGGGACAGCAGGAGCACCAGCAGGGCCCCAGCTGAGGGAAGGTGGGCATGGACAGCAGGATTAACCCAAATCCCAGTGCTGAGGAGGTGCCTGGTGGAAAACAGCAGTAGAAGAAGCAACACAGCCCCAGCAGCAGGGAAGATGGGCATGGACTGCCCAGGACAGCAGGATTAACCCCAATGCCAGAGATGAGGAGGTCCTGGTGGCAAACAGTAGCAGGAGCAGCAGCAAGGCCCCAGCTGGAGGGAAGGTGGGCATGGACAGCCCAGGGCAGGATTAACTTTAATCCCAGGGCTGAGGAGGTGCCTGGTGGAAAACAGCAGCAGGAGCAGCAGCAGCAGGGCCCCAGCTGAGGGAAGGTGGGCATGGACAGCAGGATTAACCCCAATCCCAGAGCTGAGGAGGTGCCTGGTGGAAACAGCAGCAGCAGGAGGAACAGCAGGGCCCCAGCTGAGGGAAGGTGGGCATGGACTGCCCAGG